TTTCCAGCTGTTCCACTGGGGCTATCCTGGTAAAATATGAGGAGTTTTTTGTTTGTTTTAAGAAATCACTTTGGACTTAAGAAAACAGGGTATAAATGTAATGTATTTTTTAACCTCCCATAGAACTATGGTTAACTCTTACTAAATCTACTTGGTATGTTAACAATTGTTATTGATCTTATCAACTTTCCCACTATTTTGAATTCTCAGGACCCAAGAGTTTTATAACAAAAGAATTAGTGACTTTGCTTTGTGGAATTGGTGCATGGAGACAGTGTTCCGAAACAACACGACTATTAGCATCCAATTACATAAATCTGCTTTGCTATATCAGTATGAAATTGGCTCAAAAACAGAATAGGGGGATGATTAGAAATATGCTTTAAATCGGGCCAGCCATGGTGACTCAACCCTGTAATCCCACTACTCTGGGAGGACAAGGCAGGTAGATTGCTTGAGCTCCTTAGTTCAAGACCAAGGGCAAGATCCTGTCTCTACTAAACATAGAAAACCTAGCCGGGCATTGTGGTGGACGCCTGTAGTCCTAACTAATTGGGAAGATGAGAGAAGGGGATCTTTTGAGCATAAGAGATTGAAGTTGCTATGAGCTAAGACCCATGGCACTCTACCCAGGGCAAAAAAGTGAGACTCTGTCTCAAAAAAATTAAAAAATTGCTTTAAATACCAGCCTAAGTTCTTTCCTTAAGAAGTGACTCTTTGTTTTAATGAGATGAATGAGCTACCTATATAGCTGCTGAAATATGTGACAGAGTATGAGGTGGGATGGTGTGTAGCCTGAGAAATCAGAGCAACAATTATTTGTTAGTATAGTGCGTATACTTGGCACTGTGGTAGGCTCTGGGGAAACAAGAGTGGATAACATACAATCCCTGTCCTCAGGATCTTAAAGTCTAGGGCAGAGGCTCTGACTTTGGCTCCCTACTATAATTATCTGGGAATTTTTTAAAAATTCCGTGTCTAGCCCTTACCCAAACCAATTAAAACCAAAATTTCTAGAAGTAGGAATTAGGTGTTTAGGGGATTAGGGGTGGGGGTGTGAGATATGATCTTGCTCTGTCATCTGGACTAGA